TTATTGAGGTTTCCTGCAGAAGTTGAAGCCACATTCAGGCCCCTGTGCTGCTTGTGCTTAATGTTACACAAAACACAGCTGAGTTTTTGGTTCTGTGCTGAATGTTTTGATGAAAAGTAGAAAGAAGGAGTTTGCACTTCGAAGAAGAAGAAGAAATAACCACTTCTTTTTATTAAGGTGCTCTGGAGCTTTGTTTTTTTGAAAAGCAAAACAGTGTTATCTTTGACCCAAGTTTTACCCTAATTTGAGATTTATTAAATGAGCGATTATTGATTATTATACAGAACTTTGTGGGTAGTGATGCTTCCGGCAATTTGCTCTTTTCAAATACTAACCTATATAACTTGAGAGTGTCTGATCCTTCACTTAATGGGTCTTCTGACCCAGAGCACCACTTTACAACAGGCACGATGGCTAACTAAGCTAAAAGTTGTTGTTGGGCAACAAAACAGTTATGACCGTAATCTGATCAAAGACATTTTTGGTTCTCTGATGTAGGATTTAAGTTAGACCTGAGTGCTGTACCTACATAAATCCATGACTTTTCACTCTGCTGGTCAACAGTGGTTGGGTATTTGCTTCCAAAACATGGAGGAAGAATGATTCTGCGACAGGGCAATGTTGCAAGTGGCTTTCAGGGGCGCTAGTAAACAGTTTAGCTGAGAAACATTGGCTGTTTCGAGCGTCCGCCCTAACTCCTAAATCCCTCAATCACTATATAGAGTTGGGACTATATAGTGAACCTAGTTAACTGACCATTCAGACAGATGATCAATACTTTTCACTCCCAATTGGTCACATAACTTCGCCGTCCCTGCACAGCGCCATCTTTGTTCTTTCTTTCTGCCATAACTAATCCCTGAGAGCTTTGTGAAGAGAGCTCTCGCGTAGCATTTTGGGTTATACCTGCCATGTGACCATAGATGATCACTACTTTTCAAGGTGCATTGTGGGAAATTTCGGGTCCACTATTTTTTCATCCACTAGACATTCAGACACTCATCTAAAATGGCATAACCACTATATAGTGCCATATATGATGTTCGGACACAGCCATTGAAATCCTGTAGGGCAGTGGCCCTTGAGGACTGACTTTGGACCTGCCTGATCTAGTGATCTAGAGAAAAGGAATTGGGGGTTTTTTTGCTGTTGGATGGCCACTTTTTAAAGATTTGGCATCTCACCCTTAGGAGGCCTGCCAGAGTGCGCTCACCGGCCGCTATTGAAGCTCATTAAACATAATCCTAAAACAGGCATAAATGAGACGGGGTTGGCAGAACAAGGCTGTGCTTTATGAAGGGCAGACCTAACTGGCAACCCTAAGCTTTCGTGTCAATATGCATTTATGGGTTTATTGTTGCATAACAGAAAACAGCCCTGTGTTCATGGAAACAGCCCTGTTGGAAGCTGCATCAAAAGCTCCACGAATGAGTCACTTTTTTTTTTTCTTTTGGCATGTACATGAGGCCCATTCTTCTGTGTTTCCTCACAGAGGGTCAGTTTGGCAGAGGCTGATGGAACAGCTCAACTTGGGCCAGACCTTAGTATGCTCAGCTTCCTCTGGTGAATGGTATTGATCGTAGGCTAACTAAAAAAAAACACCACCAGAACACACTCCTACTGATTCACTCCTCCAAAGGGAGCAGCTTGGGTTCATTAGAGTAGGATTTGCTTTGAGACACAGCTTCATCTCTAAATGATCAGTGGAGAGTGAAACTTTACACTAAATGTCAAAGACTGATTAAGTGCTCGTGGCAAAACGCTGTCTATCTACAGTGCTTTGAAAAATACTTCACAGCCATTAGAACTTCTCCACACTTTCTTGTTACAGCGAAAAACATCAGTACGTTTCATTAAAGTCCTACAGTGTGTAATACTAACGAAAACTAGTGTGCAATTGAAATGTTTTTATCATTCAAACTCTAAAAACTTTGATGTACATTAGTGCTTGACCTCCCTCAGTCCAAAAATGTCTCAGAACAGACGTATATTCAAGGTCTGTTTCCCAAATCTACTTGCAACACATGAACTCCTTCCCATTGAATGATGAGTGTAAGCAAACTTCAGTTCTTAGATGCCTTTAAAACTCTTAAGTCACAAATTTCAGGACTTTTGTGATGTTTTGCAAATACAGATCCTTTACATAAGCCATTCAAGGCCTCAATGAGGGTTTCTTCACAAATCTGACCATTTTTATTTCCATTCAATGCATCATCTGTAACCAGAGGGGGACAACCCAGCTCCAGAAAGTAAAAACCCTGCCTTTTGTTTCTTTTATCCTGTTAAACTAAGCAGGTGATTAGTCTCTGGCTGTGTCCGAACGTCTGCCCTAACCCCTAAATCCCTCAATCACTATATAGATTGCAGACTATATAGTGGACTTTATAGTGAACTGACTGTTCGGACAGATGATCACTACTTTTTGCTCCTCGTTGGTCTCGTGACTCTACCTCCCCGCACGGTGCATGCTTAATCTTTGTTCTTTGTCGCCGCTGTTGGTTAGCAATGATGGGCCGCTGTGACAGCAATTCCCATAATGCTTTGCGAGGAGAGCTCTTCTCGCAAAGCATATCTGATATATCTGCTCCTCTAGTGACCATGAATGATCACTACTTTTAAGGGTCATTGTGGGAAATTTCTATTCCACATCCACTAGACAAGAGATGGCAGATTAGCAGACCATAATCCGGATCCAGACCCACCGGCTGGCTAATCCAGACCCAACTGATTTAAAACATTTATAAATTACTGCGGGCTGCTCAGTTACAGAGTAAGTAGCACTGCTGCCTTGCAGCAAGAAGGTTCCGGGTTCTATTCCCGGCCTTTATTCCCAGTCTCTCTACATGGACTTTGCATGTTCTCCCTGTGCATGCGTGGGTTCTCTCCAGGTACTCCGGCTTCCTCCCAAAGTCCAAAAACATGACAGGTTAACTGGCTTCTCTAATTTCTCCTTAGGTGTGATTGTGTGTGTAAATGGTTGTTTGTCCTGTTTGTCTCTGTGTTGCCCTGCAGTGAACTGGCGACCTGTCCAGGGTGAACCCTGCCTCTCGCCCCTAGACAGCTGGAGATAGGCACCAGCACCCCTCGGGACCCCATTTGGGATTAGCGTGACAGAAAATGGATGGATGGATAGAAATTAGCCAATGAGCTGTGTCAGTTTGGGTCACTGCTGCAAACCACTTTTAGACACAGCCTGCAAGCTGGGTGATGGGAAAGAAGGAGAAGATGATGACATAAAGAAAGCAAATAAAGTTCGGACTGCTAGAAGAACTGCTGTGAACTGGTTAAAGAAAAGTGAAATGGCGTGCTCAAAAAATGTACCTGCAAATTTTAAGTATGTTTGGCTCAAACTGCTGCTGTGAATCAGGATTCTCCACCATGAACATAATCAAAAATAAATATGGATCCAGGCTTAAAATGAGCACCTTGATATGTGCTTGAGAATGGCTTTGTCAACATTCAAAATCAGGCTTTAAAGCCTTGCAGGTTAGCGTAAAGCCCACTTCTCTCATTAAGCCATAAAAAGGAAAAAAACCCAAACAAACGGTTAGTTCAGGTGTTTTATAAAATATGTGAATCAGGGAATTGTCTTCATAACAAACTGAACGATTGTTCTTCTGTACTTAAAAAAAAACACTTTAGATTTTAAAATGGAAACATTTAAAAAAAAATTTATATATATATTTTATTTTTTGCTTTTTCCTTAACCTTTTCCTTTTTGAAATGATAAATAGCACAGTGATCAATAGCATGTTCACAGTCTTGTGTAACATTTTATAGCCTATTTCAGTCATCACAACTTTATTAATGAACTATCTGCTTTGCTCATCAACTTCATGATGCTGTGTGTTCACTAATTGTAACTAACAAACCTTTAGGCCAAACCTGTAAGGCCGTCACAGGAGCGCTGGATTAATCATGTGGCTAATTTAATCACTCGTGTTGTTAATTGGTTGAGAACTGTGGTTCCACTTGATTTTGTTGAGATATTTCAGAGTAAAGAGGGTAAAAAACTACCACACAATTTATCACCTATTAAATCCTTCCACTAGATCCTTATATTATACTGTGTGTCTTGTCCTATAATATACAGTGTTCTATAAAATCCATTAAACTATATTTAGATTTAGTTGTCCTGACATGGAAAAGTTCAAAAAACCTTTTCTGAAGTTGCTGAATATTAGGTGTAAAATGTTGTTTATGCCTTTTTTCACCACAAGGGGGTGCTAATGCCATAGCCTCCTTCCTAATATGTCTCTTCAAACTCTAATCTATGGTTATAGCACCTCCTTTCAACACCAAAGAGAGCTTTATTTTTATTTTTTCCATCCTTTTCTCATGCCACTCAGAGGAAGACAGGTTAGCCTCAGGTCTGTTTGTATCGATGCAAATATGACCAGAATGTTGCCTCATTCTGGTCCGTTTCTAAATCTGTTTCCATCGCCTGGTTATTGTCAGCCTCTTGCTGCCGTTGTGCTTCCATCGCCTTATCTGGAAGTGACCAGACTCTCAGGAGCTCCCTGCACAGCCATGCACAGTCTTCTCCCACCTCCTTCTCTCACTTTTGGTTGCCAATGTGCCATTTGTTGTCGGTAAATAAAGGAACTGGGTGGCTTTGACCTTCTACATTCTTGCAAGCCGGTCCTTACAAGGTATTACTTCTTTAGCTATGAAGCAATCATTCTCACAGAGAAATACACCTTTTCCAATGGATTTGAATCCTGGATCCTTTTTAATTATGCTTAATTTTAGTAAAACTGATTTTTTATATCTAAGCTAAGTCAAGTTGGCTGTTCACACCTTGCATAACATGTTGATTAGAATCCATACGGCCCTATTAAACTCTTTGGGGGGCATTAGAAGATGGTAGAAGCGGACCTAATATTGAAGTGAATCATTCTGATCAGCTGACTGAGCATGGGATGTCCCGCTGCTGTCATCTGACGGGGGGCTGGTCTCAGCAGCCTTAAAGGTCAGGTTACAGACACCGAGCCGCACAACTGTCACTGAGGAGGGTAACTGCATTGTGCTGAACTGCAACTTCAAATGAAGGCTTTTACCTCCAGAAGAAGCCCGACGAAGTGACCTCACGTGATGAGTGAGTGAAGCAGATGTTCCTGTGCCGAATTTACTCACTGAGAAAGAGGGAGAGTGGGTAGATGGGCTGCTCCAGCCAATCGGCAGGGATGTTTCTATGGACTCGCCTCTTTTAGAGCAGCAGACAGGCTTGCTATATTAGAGAGATGCCGCCCACAGCTGCACCTGACAATTTACAGTGCCAGCACCTCTGAGCGAGAAGGCGAGGCACTCCAGTCCGAGCATCACCGACGCTGGAGCTCTCTGGAATTCACCGCTTTTACATTCTCCTCTTTTATTTTGGATTTATTAGCTGTATTACATTTCCTGCTGGCTCAGCTCTTACTTTTCCTACTTTTTTCTTGCCCGTTCATGCCATTTTATATTTTGGGAAATAGTTGTAATACATTAAGGTCAGCCACTTTGTTAAGGACCATTAATCTATTTTTTTAAGCTGGGTTTGTTTTTCAACTTTAAACTCAGAAAAATCCCCCAGAAATAAAATGGAGTAACTCTCACTTTGGACAGTTTTGAAACTTCAATCCCATCGTGATGTTGATGGTCATGGTCAAGCTGAGTTTTGAGCCAATCACGCACTGCTTTCCATGAAGAGGTTTGGCAGCCTGAGGAGGAGCAAGAAGCGACGAGAGCAGGATGGGCTAGAAGGGAGGCATCAGTCCGAGGCTTCGTGTCTGGCCGGTAATGTGCCGTTCTCCTCGTTTGCCTCAACTATGCCCTGATTTCTTCTATGCTTCTTAAGCATATTCTTCCTCCTCTAGCTGTTGCATTATTATAACTTTATAAACACTAATTTAGCTTTAACTTAATTTGGTGTTATGCTGTTTTATTTGTTGTTGGTGGCTGAAACTGCTGCAGTCCAAGTCAGCAGTTTTCTGCAAAGTGTTAAATCTGTACTAAAGAGAATCATTTAACTGAATAGTGTTTTATAAATGTATGCTCTCTTTTTTCTGTTGAACTATAAAGGTTCTTAATATGTCACCAGTGTTTACTAAATAGTTTTTCGACCTTCTCTAGCATAATAGGCTGAATTTAATGATCCCACTGAGCAGTAACACTGATATCTCTGTGGAAGCTCTTTCTACTCATTATTAGTATATCTAAAACAGATAAATGCACTGTTGTTCTTCGATGTTGCAACATTGGAAAGTAAAATATTTTTTTCTTTGCGGAATGGAAATGGAAATTTCGAGCTGCTTGCTTTAGTTTCATAGTAGCTTTGCTGCAGAGGCTATGCCTGCCTCAGTCAGGATGCATCATGCAAGAGCTTGTTTTGTTTTTGTTTTTTAGATGCAAACATCACATGTAAAAACCAGTGATAGCTGGTTTTTATGCAGGTCAACCTGGGTGATATTGATCTGAGTCTTAAATTTCGAAGCTACAGCCAAATCCGATCTAAGTCTCTTCATACGATCACTCCTACCTGCTTCTGTTTCTCTATCATTTATATTATAGATTATATATATTTATTAGTGCTGCAGCTAATAATTATTTTAGTATTTTTGGATTCTATTGATTATTCTAAAAATTGATTGCGTAATCAGATGCTGATGTAACACATTCTGCAGATGTTTTTTTTCTTAACTACCTAAGCTTAGCTTATTTTAATAGAAAGACTAAAAAATAAAATAGAAATCAAAAGATAATAATTTTCTTATTGAAAAGAATATAATTAATAAAAAAAATTAGGTTTTTAATTTCAACATGTCAAGAGTTCCGCTTTCAGTTGAATTGAGAACAATAAAGTTGGGATCTTCTGTAGGGAAATTGTAGAAAGTGTTTCATGTATTCTGTTTTTTTTTGTTGTTTTTTTTTTACATAAAATCATAAAAAGACTAATTGTATCCTTATAGAGTAAATCCCTCATATTTACCCTGAGCACAAAATTTTCAGTCCTTTTTTTATCTTTTATTTGTGCAAATGAACCAAAAAAAAAAAAAGAAATATGCAAACAAAACACTCCCCAGAAACCTTACCTCACTGCAGGATGGACAGTTCTGGTACGGCTTTGCATATTTCTGTTTGGAACCTGCTCTGTCAGCTTTTTACTTCATATTTAGGTAAGAAACAAAATGATCTTAAAACTGCATTTGTTTTTTAATCTTAGTGGTTCTCTTCATACAAAGTCAGGTGTGCGAAAGTGCAGCAGGATCACAGCGACTAAATGCATGTATGTATGGGTCACATATGCTGTTCATTGTTACCCATAATAGCAACGCACAGCATTGGGGGCACCACTAGTGTAGCTGATCTCTAGTTACAAATATATGCAGCCATGCATCTCTGCATCAGCACATGGTGCAGGGACACAGGCAGAAGGGGTTGAGGAGTTTGCTTTTCCAAGGAGTCAGCATTATTTTTCTGCTGAAATCCCAATGACCACTTTCTTGGTAATTGTTCTTTGGATTCTACTCCTGATTATATTAAAAATTGGAATCAGATCATTGCTTTCACATCTGCTCTGATTCATGCCCCTTGAATGTCACTGTTATTTTGTCCCTTTATCCATAGGACTTCAGTGTAGCTGCTCCACGTTGAACACGTAACTAACATAAAGTATAAGCTGCCAGATCCAGATCAAGATCAGCCATTTTTTTCTTTGTTTCTCTCATGAATTTAGATATATGGGTAGTAAATATTAACCTAAATAGTTCTTAAAAATGAAGTTAATATAAATGGTCAACAACTGAAAAAAATAACATATTTTTTTTTAGTCTTTGGGGTAAAATTATAGCAAACACAAACATCTTTTTTCCTCCAATTGCTAAAATAACAGACATGTATCTGATTATATGACTGATATCTGATGAATCTGCTAAGAGATATAAGGAATCAAACATTAAAAATGCTAAATCAGCTAATCCTGTTCATGAAATCGTACTCAAGTAGATGTGGACCAAAATGACTTCCAATATCTAAGCAGCAAGCAAAATTATATAAAAGACTTCTGAAACCCTGAGGCGTCGTCACAGGACCTGCGGTCATCTTTTTCTACTGTTCATATGAAGGCGTGTCTGTACAGCCAGAATTAAACTCAGTGAGGGAAGCCTTTGCTATCTAAACCAATATAATACATAAAAATAATAAAAGCCAGAATCAAGCTCTGTGAGACAGATTGTAGGTTAGAACCGGGACATTTGCAGCAATGTTCTATGGACAGGTAAGTCTAAAATGTAATGATTTAGACATAAGCCCAGAGATATTTAGCCCAACCCAAAGCAACGTTCCATAAAAAGACCCTGATTATCATTAATCATTAAGGTGGACGTGTCATGGTTCATGGATGCTAAGCTGCTGCAGGTCCCGGTCAGCACACAGACTCCTCCATGTTGGAAAATGTCAAGAACAAGAGACCATCGGTACAACATGACAATGACTCTGAACATGCTAGTTCATCTAATAAGGACTGCTCAGAATTCTTATATTTTTCAAATATATAAAGAAAATCCAGCAGTAAAATAAATAATCTTCATGTTCTCCCTTATTTTTTTTAGCAGTAAACAGTGAAACAAAGGTTGAATATATTGCCCCCCCCTCTCGTGAAATTTCAATAAATTGTTTGGTTTCCTGGCTGCATCGCATCAGATCTCCCCATCCGGCAGTTCACGTACACGTCATTTGACGTAGTGACAACGAAAGAAACAGATTAACAAGAAAATGTGTTAATAAGCAGCAGTGTTGTAAAAACGTCCGCGGCTGAAAAATGCAGCGCCCCAAAGTCTCGGTAAAAAAAAAAAAAAAAATATATATATATACACTATATTGCCAAAAGTATTTGCTCACCTGCCTTGACTCACATATGAGCTTAAGTGACATCCCGTTCCTAATCCATAGGGTTCAATATGACGTCGGTCCACCCTTTGCAGCTAGAACAGCTTCAACTCTTCTGGGAAGGCTGTCCACAAGGTTTAGGAGTGTGTTTATGGGAATTTTTGACCATTCTTCCAGAAGCGCATTTGTGAGGTCGCACACTGATGTTGGACGAGAAGGCCTGGCTCTCAGTCTCCGCTCTAATTCATCCCAAAGGTGTTCTATCGGGTTGAGGTCAGGACTCTGTGCAGGCCAGTCAAGTTCATCCACACCAGACTCTGTCATCCATGTCTTTATGGACCTTGCTTTGTGCACTGGTGCACAGTCATGTTGGAAGAGGAAGGGGCCAGCTCCAAACTGTTCCCACAAAGTTGGGAGCATGGAATTGTCCAAAATGTCTTGGTATGCTGAAGCATTCAGAGTTCCTTTCACTGGAACTAAGGGGCCAAGCCCAGCTCCTGAAAAACAACCCCACGCCATAATCCCCCCTCCAACAAACTTTACACTTGGCACAATGCAGTCAGACAAGTACCGTTCTCCTGGCAACCGCCAAACCCAGACCCGTCCATCAGATTGCCAGATGGAGAAGCGCGATTCGTCACTCCAGAGAACGCGTCTCCACTGCTCTAGAGTCCAGTGGCGGCGTGCTTTACACCACCGCATCCGACGCTTTGCATTGCACTTGGTGATGTATGGCTTGGATGCAGCTGCTCGACCATGGAAACCCATTCCATGAAGCTCTCTGCGCACTGTTCTTGAGCTAATCTGAAGGCCACATGAAGTTTGGAGGTCTGTAGTGATTGACTCTGCAGAAAGTTGGTGACCTCTTCGCACTATGCGCGTCAGCATCCGCTGACCCCGCTCCGTCAGTTTACGTGGCCTACCACTTCGTGGCTGAGTTGCTGTCGTTCCCAAACACTTCCATTTTCTTATAATACAGCTGACAGTTGACTGTGGAATATTTAGGAGCGAGGAAATTTCACGACTGGATTTGTTGCACAGGTGGCATCCTATCACAGTTCCACGCTGGAATTCACTGAGCTCCTGAGAGCGACCCATTCTTTCACAAATGTTTGTAAAAACAGTCTGCATGCCTAGGTGCTTGAATTTATACACCTGTGGCCATGGAAGTGATTGGAACACCTGATTCCAATAATTTGGATGGGTGAGCAAATACTTTTGGCAATATAGTGTATATATATATATATATATATATATATATATTTTTTTTTTTTTTTTTTTTTAAATAATGATCGCTATAAAATGAAATGGGCTCCAGTTGTTTATACTGTATCCTGGACAGCTGAAATGTGGTGGGCGATGAGGGCCAAATAAAAATTTTTTCATGGGGCCCCAAATTCCCGGGCCCCAGTTAGGTTTTTAAAGCCAAAGAGGGGAACACACACAAGCTATCAGAATGTCCTAACAGGACGGTTTCCTCCTTATGTCTACATAAAAGAAAAAAGCAAAGTATTTATTGTTGTTTGGGTTTAACTATATCCCCTTCTTTTCCTGAAATTGGATAATACATTTGACAATAATATTTTAACTTTCTTTTTTTGGGAGGGACTAAATATTAAATCAGTTTTATCCAAATTGTTTTTATTTATTTTTGTGACATCAGTTTATGATGGGCAATTCACATACTTTAAATTACTTTAACTCATCCAGTTTCGGTGGTCATAAAACAAGCTTTGTCGCTTATATTTCCAAACAAAATGTAAACTGTATTCAGGAAGGAATTAATTTCTTATGATTCATATTTATTTAAAGAATAATATGTCAAACAGTTTACTGGTCACTTGACAAGTGGTTCAAATTGTTCTCTTTTTCCAGCTCTGCTGGAAAATGATTGCTCTGTCTCAGGGTCA